TGACCTGAGCCAAAGTCGGACACTCAACCGACTGAGCCACCCAGTCGCCCCTGATAAAGGACATTCTAAAACTGTTGTTCCTGACCAGGATTGGGACCTGCTAGCAGTAGTCTATGGTCATGTCTGTTTTTTCTTTTTTTATTTCAACGTTTATTTATTTTTGAGAGATAGATAGAATGCGAATGGGGGAGGAGCAGAGAGAGAGGGAGACACAGAATCCGAAGCAGGATTCAGGCTCTGAACTGTCAGCCCGAACCCATGAACTGTGAGATCATGACCTGAGCCGAAGTCAGTCGCTTAACTGACAGAGCCACCCAGGCGCCCTGTTTTTTCTTGTTTTAGGTGAACCTATATTGGTTGCTTTTAGAACATTTTTTAAATCATTATTTTATCAAACAATTATTGGACACCCACTAAGTACCAGGTACTAAGCTAAGCTTTGGGAAATAGGGCAGGGGACCCTCTAGGTGTTGTCCCCTCTTTCCCAGAACATGGTCTAGTACTTCTTTAAATCATCAAAGAAATGCACACGAGGGATGCCTGGCAGGCTCAGGTGGTGGAGCACGCGATGCTTGATCTCAGGGTTGTAAGTTCAAGCCCCACGGTGGATATAGAGATTACTTAAAAATAAGATCTTTTTTATAAAAAAAAAGGCACATGAAATCAACTTTGAGATAATTATTTTATAGTAATCGCAGTAGAAGAAATATCAACAAAACAGCTGCCAGTGCTAACGGGGTGACCGTGAAACAGAGGGGCAGGGTAGCACGGTGCAACATGGGGCAGAGGAAGAGAGGTCAGTAGAGACCTTGCCCCACATACCCTGCAGACCTTGCGGGATCTGGGTGAGCATTTTGTTGTTTTATCTTCCAAATAAGAGGGAGCCACTGAAGGGAGTGCAGTGGATGGTTGGGCTTGATTGGCTTTGCTTTTGGAACACTTGCTTATCTTTGGGGTGTAGAGAATGAGCTGGGAGAGGCCTGGTGGAGGTGAGACTGGCCCCAGGGCTACACCCGAGGGCCCTGTGAAGGAAGCCGGGCAGGGGCTGGGGGAGGTGGCCAAGGGAAGCGGAAGCGGATTGGGTTTGAGAGGTGGGAGCCAGCTCCCCTTGCTGTGGAGTCAGGATTTCGGGACCCCTGTCGGGATTGGGATCTAAGAGTCTAGAGCGAGTGAGTGGGTGGGAGCCCCCCTCACCTCTTGCACCTTCCCAAGAGGACTGCCCTCTAATTCCTCCCTATCCTTCTTCCCTCAGAGGTGGTCGTGGGGATAGGACTGGCCGCTATGGAGCCACTGACCGTTCGCAGGACGATGGGGGGGAGAGCCGCAGCCGAGACCACGACTACCGGGACATGGACTACCGCTCATATCCCCGCGAGTACGGTAGCCAGGAGGGCAAGCACGACTATGACGACTCGTCCGAGGAGCAGAGTGCAGAGGTGAGCACCGGGGCGGACAGGCGCCTGCAGGGCCTCTGGTTGTAGCACCACGTGCAGCTAGCTCTTGGCTCCCATACCTTCAGACTGTGCTCAGTGGCTTTGTCTCACCTGGAGGGTCTGTCCCTGCTCCCCTCTCTGAGGGCTTCTCTCCCAAGTTGGGTCTCCCTGACTTCCACATGCTTGGCTCTATACTTCTGAGAGCCCCTGGCCATCACCTCTCTCCCTTCTTCCCTGTTGTTCAGTTGGGTCCACGGTTCACTGCAAGCCCTTTACCGCCTGCTCCCAGCCAGTTTGGGGCCCTTGAACAGCCTCTTGCATGGGATCCAGCATCTGGGGTTGGGAGGGCCATGGGGAAACTGGATATCACCAAAGAGAGCAGCCCTGGGAGGCCCAACCGTGGGCAGTCCCAGGGGCAGCAGAGCCCCTGCACAAAAGGAAAAGACCCTCTGGGGCCTCTCCTTTGAGCTCAGGGGGTAGCCAGTTCCACGTTGGGTAGTTAGCCCTAGCCTGAGGAGGGGAGGCGTGATGTTCACCGTCTGAGGAGAAGCAACAGACTTGCCTTAGGGGAACCCCACTTTGAGAGGATAGTCCGTCCGGGCCCAGGTCCAAGCAAGCAGGCAGGTCTCCTATGTAGCAAGGTGGGAAGGGTACTATTGCAAGTCAGTCCTGGAGGACAGAGTGTGAGCCACCAGCTGCCTTCTGGGAGAGTCCAGTGCAAAGAACTCTGCTGGGCAGCCAGGTTTCCCCAGTGGCAGCTGTGATATGTGCCTGGATGTCTCTGGGGCACCAGGGGGCCGTGGGTAGCCCCTGTGGGAAGAGTGGGAGTGGAGCGCTGAGTTATCTGGTCTCCCTGAGGGCAGAAGGGGTATGGACCCTGGCCTGGCCTGCTTAGTCCTGGAAGGATGGCTTGGGCGACACCCAAGAATTTAGTGACCACACCATGTTAGGAGGGAGCCTGGTGGTGATAGAAGACTGGCCAGACAGAGGATCGGGACTGGGGGCAGGGCTGTGGCCCTCACACCTTTGCCAGCCCCTGCTGACCGGCTCTGGATGAGATATCAAGAACAGTTGAGCACATACTGGCTGAGCTGCAAGGGAGGAAGAGGGGGAAACAGAGGGCAGGATTTAGTGTGCTGACCCTAGACCCAAGGAGGTTTAAGCGGTATCTGTTCACCTGTCTGTGGGAGTTCCTCCCCCACAGCAGGACTGCCACCAGCCTCTCCCCACTCCCCACCAAGGCAGCCCCCAACAGGCATCCTGGGGACAGTGTCCCACCCCAGAAGGGTTGCAGTCCAGGGCTTACCCATTTTGCTTGCCCTGAGCCTTTAGCCGGAGCCCGCCCACCCCTGGCTTTCAGAGCCTGCCTGCCTCAGAGAGCCAGCGGCCAGCCCCTAGGCCCACCCCAGACTGACTGCCCGTCTGGTGTCTCTCGTCTTATTCTGTTGGCCAGGATTCCTACGAGGCCTCCCCGGGCTCCGAGACTCAGCGTAGGCGGCGGCGGCGGCACAGGCACAGCCCCACCGGCCCGCCAGGCTTCCCCCGAGACGGCGACTATCGGGACCAGGACTATCGGACCGAGCAAGGGGAGGAGGAGGAGGAGGATGAGGAGGAGGAGGAGGAGGAGAAGGCCAGTAACATCGTCATGCTGAGGATGCTGCCACAGGCAGCCACTGAGGATGACGTACGTGCCCCCCCCTCGTGGCCCTGGGCAGGTGGCAGGGCAGGAGGCCAGGCTGGGTCTCCTCCAGGGCCCTCAGCTTCTCCCTCACCCCGAACTCAGCACCTTTTATCCCTTCTCTCCCCCAGCACTGATCCGTCCTCTGGGCAGGCCCTTGTCCTCTCCTGGTCTGGAAGGGAGGAGTGTCGGATAGGCTGGCTTGGCCAAGGGGCTGCCGCAGTGGGGTGTGGGAGGGAACAGAGCATTCCTCCTGAACATTCCACTGCTCATCCGTCCGTTCTGCATGTGTTGACTGAGGGCCAGATGCTCCCCAGGCCCAGAGCCAGGTATTCCTGGTGGCAGAGATGATGTAGGGCCCGGCAGTCCTGGGGATGGGGAGGGTCCCCATGGGGTTTTCTGAGGTTTTATTCACGTTCTCTCCCCATGCCCTCACCCGCGCCCTTGTCGGCAGCGTCAGATCTCCGTGGCCTGGCCACAGACCCCTATGTTCTCTGATGTCCTTTGCTGCTACTGGCAGCCTCCCTGCTCAGTTCTCTCACATTTCCTTCCCTGTTCCTCCCTTTGCTTCTGTTTCCTTCTCATACAGACTTTCCCTAACGAGCCCCAGTAAAACCCCAGAGGGCCACTAGAATAGCCTCCTCGTTAGCCTCCCCGATTCTCCTCTCTGACCCCGCCGAATTCTCTGCTCAGCTCCCCTTCGAAATCTACCGGCTGCCCATTTTGTCAAAGAGAAAAATCCCACGTGTGTATTCGGGAGCTTCTCCAGTCTGGCCCAGCCACGCTGCTCAGGGTCAGACAGTAGCTCCGTGCTGACATGTGTTGGGGATTTATCACAGGGCGGGCCACATGCCAGGTCTCATGTAATCCTCACAGCCACTCTGCGGGGAAGGCACTCTGTGTGTTTCCATCCTACCGTTGAGGAAGCCAGGCCCCCAGCAGTGAAGCAGCTTGTTCCAGGTCCCTCAGCCCGTGAGTGGCAGAGTGGACTTGGGGTCTGGACCTGGGCAGCTGGATTCCAGAGGCCACATTCTTGCTGTTTCCAGAGCCCTCCCTGAACGTTCGCTGTCCTCATGATCTTGTGTGTGTGTGTGTGTGTGTGTGTGTGTGTGTGTGAGAGAGAGAGAGAGAGAGAGAGAGAGAGAAAGACAGAGAGAGCGCACGCGAGAGTGAGAGCACTTCTTTCTTTTTCACCTGATGAGGAAACTGAGGCCCAGAGGTAGTAAGATTGCCACCCGAGAATGCCTGGCACGTGCTCCCAGGCTTCTGCGAGAGGCACCACTGGCCTAGAGACCCTGCCTCACCTGGCCCAAACCCCAAACTGCCTCTACAGCTTCCATCTGGCTTCATCCAGGAAGCTTTGCACACCCTGTGAGCACACCTTTTTGTCTCTGCCCAGGGTACTGATCTGCCCACGGCCTAGGGCGCGTGGCTGGGCTCTGCCCAGACCCAGTCCCTCCCATTTTGGTATTTGCTTCCTGGGTGTCTCGGTGTGAGCCGGAGGGCGGTCCCAGAGCTGCGTCCCAGCTCTCCTCCCCACGGCTGCACCAAGCCTGTTATCAGACCAGCCCCTTGGGCCATTCTTGAGCTGCGGGCTCCGCTTGGCTTGCTCTCTCGTTGCTCTCGCCTCTGAGGGTCTTCCGTGCTGCCGTGCCCCACCTCGTACCATGTACCATGCCCCATGCCCCCTTCGTTTCCCTCATTCTCTGCAAGTCTGGGGCCGAGCGCCGAGACCGGGTACTGTTATGGGGCCGGGGCCACGGCACCTCGGGGAAGAGCCCCGAGAGAGCGAGGGGAGGCAGTGCATGCACATCACTCACGGGCAGCCCCTCAGGGGCCCCCCGTGTGCTGAGCCTGCCCCAATCCGTATCTCTCCGTACAGATCCGGGGCCAGCTGCAGTCCCACGGAGTGCAAGCGCGGGAGGTCCGGCTGATGCGGAACAAATCCTCAGGTGAGCTTTTGTTCCCAGTGCCTCCCCTTCTGCTGGCCAGCCTCAGCCTCCAGTCTCCCTCCTGCTTCTGTCTTCTCCCTCACCCTCCCTGCCCTGCCTTCCCTCCACGGCTGGGCATGGGCAGCTTGGGGTGCCCTTTCTTCTTCTCTTCCCCTCGACCCACCCTCCTCACAGCTCCGGGGCTGTTGGGGAGGGGGTGCAGCGCTGAGCTGAGTGCTCCCCGGGGGCAGGGCCAGGGCCAGGCTCCGGGGAACCTCCTCTTTGGGATTCTGAGTATCTGAGGTGGTAACACCCCCATATACTCCCTTCCCTCTCCCTTCTTCTCCTTCCCCTCCCTTCAATCCCCCTCACGTTTTTCTGGTAACAGCCTGTGACCAGAAAGTAGGTCTGACACGGCCCCACCCTCGTGTCCCAAGAGAGGGGAGGCAGGGGATGGCTCTTCTCCCAGGGTGCATCCCAAGGAGCAGCCAGGATTCCTGGCCTTGCTTCTTCCCTCCCTCCCTCCCTCTTGCAGGCTGCTTGGAGCTGGCCTGAGATTAGCAGGGTGGTGGGGGGGGAGTTGTCTCTGCAGGACCTCTGGCCCAGGCTTCCCAAGGCAGGCACAGTGGGGCTTCACTGCCTGGGCTTCTCTCTCCATCTCTCAATCTCTCTCCTCCCCACACCTCCATATCTATCTATCTTTCTTTCTCTCTCTCTCCCCCT